TGACCGAGAGGTTGCCCAGGACGATTGCTGACAGAAACGCTTCCTGTCCCTTTCACGGCAGCTTCCTAACATGCAGGCTTCTGTCGCACAAGCTTTTGTACCAAACTTGCTTCCTTCTGTCACGAACCAAAGCAGTTCACCTTCCTCAGAAGGAACGGAGAGGAACGCCTTCGCTGTGTTAGCCGCCTTCTGCTCGTTCTAGTTTTCTTCTGTACCTGGGCAGAGTGTGAGGTCATAGCCTGTGTCCGTGGTCTCCAAAACCCATCACAGGTTGAATGGTGAAAAAGGAATCCCATGGGGTTGTCTCCAGAGTGAGAGGTTTCACAATTGGTCTGATTCCTAAATTGTGAGCCAGCTAGTTGCTGTGCACATGCACCCTTGGCGATGGTGAAATTAATGGGAATGACTGGGATCCAAGCAATTCTTTGGTGGTGTAATATCCCCCAGGTGCAAAACCCAAAGGTGAGGAAAAGCGGCATTTACTTAACCAAGCTGATTATTTTCTTATGACAGCTAACTGTTTATTTTAGCCTCGCCTCGACTCAGCGGCGATGTAGCAAATAGATTTAAACGCTGTCCCTGTCTTTTAATTCCTCGTCATTAGGGATGAAGTCGTGCATCTGGGTGTCTGCAAATGCAGACACCCAGTGCAGCCTGACTTTTAATTCCTCGTCATTAGGGATGAAGTGGCACATCCGGGTGTGTGCAAATGCAGACACCCAGTGCAATAGTGCAGCCCCAGAGTTAGGTATTGTCATGTCGAGGACGTCTGATCTGGGTCGGGCCTTGATGAGGGCAGGGGGAAGGCAAGACTCATACAAAAGAGTTGCTTGCAGACATGATGTGCTTGGGGATCACTTTGGATTATTCTCATGCTATGATGTTCCTACTTTTCCAAAAGAAAGCCTTGTGGCTAAACTTGTTCTTTCATGCTCAGCGAATACAGTCCTTTAGTTGGCCTATTCTAACTGACTTTATTGTAGTTAGCCTTTTGGGAAGCTACCTGATCTGTCTCCCTTGATTCTCCAGTCCAATTCAACCCATGCATACATAAGAAATGCCTGTCTCCATCGAGCTTCTTAACCCATCTTTCCTGCTTGCAGGCTTATCTCAGACAATCCTTTCGTTTATCTGCACCTCTACAACCTCTTCTTATTTTGATCCTGCCATTGAGGTTGAATTTCTGAATGAGCAGTGGTAATGTGCATGGTTTCCAGGTGAAAATGATCTAATCCTTTGGCATGTTTGTGTGCACTCTTGCCTCAGACAAAGCCATTTGGCCTGAATTTCTTAGGCAAATCATAAATTCTAGTCTAGGTTGCAGAAATATTCTGTAACAACCTTGAACGTTTTATAAATCAAACAAAGGCTCATGCCAGTTGCCATTATGGGTTACCTAGATACCTTCAAATTTGGGAGACTAAAGTTAGGAATCTATATTAAAATGTTGATACTTAAATACTTTATCTCAGAGCTACTCAACACGCTGCCCATTTGTTTGTGGCCCGCAGTGTGGTTTGGGTTTACGCAGGGCTCAACACGCAGCCCACGGGTGGGAGCCAAACCAAAAAAAGTTGTCAATATAATAGTCTTCTGTTGATATGCATTTTAGTAGTAAAATTCCTGGACTGTCATTGTTTATTAAAAGTGCTGTCATATGGGTGGAAATCGGGTAAATATTGCATTTTATTAATATCAGCAGAACGGACTTAAAACGGGCCCTGTGTGTTGTGTAGTCTTGCCTCAATCTTTGTATTCATGCCTGCCAGTGTGAAAAGCTATTTGCATATATAGTTGCATGTATATGCAACCACACTTAAGTTGCGGTCCTCGGCACGTGCTGTGAATATCATTGTGTCCCCCAGGGCTTCCAAAGTTGAGTAGCCCTGCTCTACCTGATTGAGGGACATAATGCATGTAGGCACCCAGCATTCAAAAGCATTTCAGTTTAGTTAAAAAACAAAATACCTCCAAAATGTCCTTCCATATCTCTGACCTGAAGCTGGAACAATCCAAGTGGTGACCTTGCCAAAAGACTCTGTCCCAGCCAGGTTGTGCACAGATGTACGGTATGTTGGGAAAATTGAGATGTCAGGGTTATACTTAAATTGAGAGAGATCACCTGTAATGCTGTGACTTCTGAGCCTTACTGAGTATTAATATAGTTATGATTGGCTCCCAGCAGCTTGGAACGCAGATCACCCATCCTGAGTTTGAATGTGAATGCTCTTCCTGGTGCTGCATACAGGTTGAACCTCTCTAATCCAGAACTCTCTCCTCCAGAAACATCCATTGTCCGGAATAATTTTAGTTAGCAGGATGTCCGCTTTTCATGGGTGTGGCAAAGTTTCCTGTGGTCCCTTAAAGTTTGTTTACGGCCCCCAGTCCTAGCTCTGTGTTCTGAGTTATTTAGCTCTAATTTACCCCTAAATGTCCTCTAGCCGCATAGTAAGCAGTAGAAGTGTTGGTAATGCTGCTAGACAACATTGACCTCCTGTAGTCCAGAACATTCACTTGTTTGGAATCAATTAGGTCCTGAGAGTGCCAGATTAGAGAGGCTCAGCCTGTACTTGATTTTGACGATACCGTATTTGTTTGCAATCCCATAGGAGCACTGTTTGGAGATCATGGGATGTGGTAGTTCCACTAATGCCTACTACTTGCTGCGGAAATCGGAAAAAGGTGAGTGTCTCCCGAGGTATATTTCAATCTTTCCCGGTGGATTATAAACGTCCTATGAGAGGGTTATAAATATTCAGCATAGAGCTGCATCTACACTGTCCCTGGACCCTGTTGCATAGAGGAGTATCCCATAAAAACAGACCCTCCCAAAGAAGATAATAGTAAATAGCTTTCAGCTTGGGCTGAGATTAAAGGCAGAAGCAAAGCTGTGAAGCAAAGCAAATCTGTTGCTGTTGTCACCCAAGTTAGTTTGTCAGTTCCTGGGGAAACGTGTGTATTATGTTTCCAGGGTCTGATAAAGCTGTGCTGGCATGAACACTTCTTTCGTCGGATCTTGAAACTGAAACCAAAACACGGACTGGTTTGCACAGAGAGTTTGCCAAACCAAACGGGGATGATGGAGGATTAATCACTTTGGCTCTTTTAAAGGTTCGACGTGGCAGCTAAGGCAGAGTCTATTTTAAAGAGTGGTAATGCAGTGATCTTCTTGTCTCATCTCTTGTGATTGGGCTTGACAGAGCTTGGTTTTTATTTTTTTAATTATAAGTGATGGCATCACTGGTTTGTTTTTTAGCTGTTTTAATTTTTCTTTCAGTTTTCACTGATACAGCAGAAATCATAAAACTGTATGATGGCAGTAGTGTATACCCTCCGCTCTAATATAATATGCATTGTTTTGGAAATAAATGAAATAAAAAAATCAGGGTTCTTCACAGAAAGTATCTGTTATGTAAGGCAACAGAACAGTGCTGCAATCATTCTGAAAAAAATCAGTTTATTTTTTTTAAGATTTTTTTTTTAATTGAAGCCATTCAGCAAAACAGACACAAATTATTGCAGAGTTCTGATGGCACAAATCTGTATTTGTCTCCTAAAAAAGTTTGTCAAAAAACTTTACCAAGCTGTAACGCAGGAAGGTGTCTAGATATGGGTAACTAATCAAAGTCTCAGAGGGGTAGCCGTGTTAGTCTGTAACTTAAAAAAAAAATTGGTCCTTTAGCACCTTGGAGACTATATATATAAAAAAATAAATAAAATAATCATAAGCTTTCATGGGCACAGCCCACTTCTTCAGAACCACTCATGTTTTCTTAAGGTATCTTAAGTTCAATGAAGTCTGTATACGTTGCTACCCATGTTCTGTGTGGCCCTGTGTGTTCCTCTGCATGCCCAAGTAATCTTAGTAAATGCACCCAGTGACTTACATAAGTATTTTGTACCCAGTGTTGTATCCAGGCCAATCCTAGGATGTTGGTTGGGTGAGGTAAGATCTCTTATTGGAGCAACTTCATAGACAAGCTTTTGAGCTCACCCAGAGCTCTTCTTCAGGTCTATGTAAGCACACACAAAAAAATTGCTTCATATCTTGTCTCACTAATAAGCATTTTGCAAGCATTAGAGTTCTCAGGGATGGAGTGGTTGCTTTACAAATACCACAAGCTGTTATAGAGCTCCATGTAACACAAGGTGGTGCTGTAGCAGAAACACAGATATTTTGCATGCTCCCTGTCCAGAACTACCCATAACAAAGTATCATTATGTCTTTAACCTATAACCAAGGCCTTTTTCACTATGCAGTCTTGGTATTTTTTGTTGGGTCTGTCACATACCCTACAATCATGCTTTGGAATCATTTTGTTTTAACTGTTGTTGTTTCCAGCCTTTATTATTGTGGCAGACACTTTGAAAGGATAGGTGAGTGTACACCTGTTTAGTATTGTTGTCTTGAGTCCATATACTACCTGAAATATTAACTCTGAGTGGCCACAACTGCCCCTTTCATTTCATATGTATGTTAACTCTGAAACCTACAGACAGCATTTTAAACTATATTAATAATTTCATCGATCATTTTACCAGAAACATCCTCAATCCCAAACATTTTACCAGAAACATCCTCATCTCCAGCTGCCAAAAGCTTCAAATGTTCTGAACCCAAAATAATCTGCTTTCTCCTAGAATCAGAGAGCTGGAAGAGACCTCAGGAGGTCATCAAGTCCAGCCCCCTGCCCAAGGCAGGACCAATCCCATAAAATCAACCCAGCCAGGGCTTTGTCAAGCCGAGACTTAAAAACCTCTAGGGATGGAGATTCCACCCCCTCCCTAGGTAACCCATTCCAG